TTTCAGGACCATGTGATGCATCTACATGTCAGCTACCAAATTGTAAATGCGCAGATACCCAAATTCCTGGAAATATGTCCGAATCCGACACTCCTATGATGATCATGGTGACGTTTGACGACAGCGTCAACATTGGAAATAACGATTACTATCTGAAACTCTTCGACGATAAAAGAAATAACCCTAACGGTTGCCCGCACAGAGGAACATTTTTCGTTTCCGGTGACGCTTCTCAATATCATTACGTTAGAGATTTGTACAAGGCGGGGAACGAAATTTCCTCCCATAGCATTTCCCATCGGTCTCCCACAACCTGGTGGGCCAATGCAGGCTATGATGGTTATGTGAAGGAGATTGAAGGAATGAGTAAACGGTTAGCACGAGAAGGAAACTTGCCCAGAAAAGCCATCAAAGGAATGAGAGTACCTTTCTTACAAGTAGGCGGAGATGGACAGTATCAAATGTTAGAGGATTACGGATACCAATGGGACTCTTCTATGGTAACAGGCAATTTGTACCAAAATGCCAATCCAACTCTTTGGCCTTTTACCCTTGATTATCCACCAAGCTCAAAACACTGCAGCTTGGCCCCATGTCCAACGAAATCTTATCCGGGTCTTTGGGAGATTCCTTTAGTACGATGGTATGGAAACAATAAGATGGCCTGTGCTATGCCTGATGGTTGTACTATTGGACCTGGTCGAAAGGGAACACTGGATTACTTAATGGACAATTTCAACCGACAGTACAAGACAAACAAAGCACCACTTGGCATTTTCTTACACGCTTCTTGGTTCCGTCGAAAGTCTGGCAATTTTGAAGGATTGGTGGATTTCCTGGAAAAGATGACCCATCTCCCAGATGTATATGTTCTTACAGTCAGTCAAGTTATTGACTGGATTCGTCACCCAGTTCCATTAAACCGAGTGTCCGAATTGAAATCCTGGCAATGTTCCAAAAAATAATTTCAGAATTTTACCTTTGCCTAACGGGTTCAAATCTAAAATTAGTTCAAACAGTCCATAGTAACACAAATTTTGCAAATCGAAATTAAACTCAATTTTGGCATCGGAGATCATTGAAGGAGATCAGCAGTATTCTTCTCACAAATTTAATCGTAAGCGATTCCGGGCAACTGGACAACCTTTGGGACAGTTAATCCATTGCATTTAATATTCCCGTTTGAAATGGAAAATCGGCAGAACAAGCTTTGTGATATAATATCCCGTGTGCTTTTTTTTTCAGGTTACATTTAGTTTGTTGTGTTTCGAGTGCCGTGTGTTTTACGTGCACATTCAACCGGTTGTAAATATACCCCGATCTGGGCTTTCGGTGTTAGATTATCTCCTATCGCTTTGCCAGCGTCATGTTCCAATGATCTTTATGTACATAGAGCGTGTAGTTTGTGATAACTTTTAATTTTTCTTTGTCATAACAATTATTGTGTATAACGTTTGCGTTGCGATACTTCGTCGAGCAGCTTACAATCAACGCAATGACTGTATTTCAATTGCTCAATATATAGTTACATCTCCGTGGAAAGACTCCGGTTTCCCTCTCAAAAGGCAAATTTCAAATAATTCTCAGATGTAATTAATGTCAGAATTGCCTAATTTAATCGAGTCTTAATTCATAGTCACGATTTTATTATCCAGTACATAAAACTAAAGATATCCCGAGTTCTTCTGACATCCATGCACATATTTGCATGTAAAAATGAGCCAGAATGCTGCAAGATTTTCACGGGAACGTATCTTAACTTTGTTTTCTAATGAAAGGTAAACAAAATTGCACAAATTTACCCCACAAGGAATTTAAGAAACATTTGTCTGGTAAACATACGTAAGATACGCTCCTGTGTAGACCGAAAAATCTGTACTTATTCCAGCAGCCGACTGTAAAAATAGCTATCAGAGGCTGGAATAGAGGTAGATGTTTCGGACAGGTTGCCGTGGTAACATTAGTAGTATGTAGAATAATGAAATGAGTAGTAAATTAGTAGAAAGACTGCGCTATAGGGATGTGAGCATGTTAATTTGGTATCATGGAATTGTCTTAGTTCCCTGGTTCCCAACCGATTGGACCCTTAGTACTCTGTTTTGATTCACAAGCGCCTGGTACCCCTAAAGCCACCATGGACGAACCAAAAACTCAAATTGTCACCAATTCCTCGCACTGAGTTCTGAAACCACCTCTAAGATCATTGTTATTTGTAATTGTCCAAGAGGCCTGTCAATTGTGTTTGTTGGTGTCTTCGGGGAACTAGTACTCCGGTTGGAAGCCAGGTTTTTAGATTATAAGGGACGGTAGCTCAGCTGACATCCTGTCAAAATAAAAAAAAAAGGAGGGGGGGGGATTATTATTTTTGTGAAAGAAATTTCAATTCTTTATTTCAATTATCTGATATAAATGGATTTCTGTTTGTGACAGTTAAGCTTTTACCAATCTACTCTGTATTGGTATCAGTCCGTATAATTTCTATTGGGGAAACTCAATGTCTAAATAGAAAACCTCAATGTCTAAATAGGAAACCTCAATGTCTAAATAGAAAACCTCAATGTCTAAATAGAAAACCTCAATGTCTAAATAGAAAACCTCAATGTCTAAATAGGAAACCTCAATGTCTAAATAGGAAACCTCAATGTCTAAATAGGAAACCTCAATGTCTAAATAGGAAACCTCAATTTCTAAATAGGAATCCTCAATTTAAATTTGTTTTTAATGTATACTAACATCTAGCTTTTTGCCTAATCTATATAATCAATAATTATCTTTATATTTCGACGCTTTATGATTTTTGCAATGGTTCTAGACTTCTAGGCATGTATGAACTTGACATGGTTTTAGCAAATTTGGGCTGAAATTTGGTATGGTGGTTTTACTTGCATTATCGACGGTTGGTTAAGATTTAGATAGGTTTAGATATGTCTTAGCTGGTTAATTTAAGCATGTTAGTTCAGATTCATTTGAGAATGCAGAGGTTTTTTTTTGCTATTTTTAGACAAACTTGGTATTTTTGGTGGCATGATTTAGAAAAAATTAGATAAAATTTGGTGCTAGAAATTTAAATTTGACGTACTTTTTAACTCTCTATCTTTCTATATTTCAGTAGCTTGCAGATCATCATCAATCTTTGGGACAGCCATTTCGCCAATTGTGCATCTTTACACAGTGGCGGGGCAAGTTTTTCGGGCAAAATCTCATAACTAGGTTAGAAATTCGGCCAATCTCAGATATTTCGCCCCGCGGACGTGAACTTGGCTCTGCCACTGTCTTTACGTCATCATCTGCTATCAATTTCAATCCAAATGCGATATCTATTCTGGCAATTGATATCGATGTTTCAATACTTAAGGGTCATTAAAGGTTTCAATGTAATATGATAAATCTCTATATAGGTCCTCCTTCGATTAGGGTTAATAATGCAGCAATTTGATTGGTTAAGAAAAAAAAATTCAGGTCTTATCCTTCTTAATGATGTCTGCAGATCAAAGAATGAGTAAAGCATCTGAAATTTACTTACATCTCGTGGTTGGCATAAACTGACTGAGACTTTGCAATTTTTGGAGCATCGATATCAACTGTAGAATCCTGAAATGACAATAGCTTACTTGTATATTTGCATATTGATGTGGTCTGAAGGCAAACAAACAACCATGCGCTCTGAAATGGTTCTTAAAGGTAACGTCGGTACTCGGTAGTTATAGAAACGTTTTGCAGTAATATAGCATAATACTTAGACGGCATTATCATCAGGTAAATGTAATAAATCGATTTCATTAGCACAACTCTGAGAAACATCGTACCCTAAATGATATACAACTGAAAACATCTAAAAGTCTAGGTAAGTACCTGGTACCTTTTTCTGATTCCGAAGATAATTCAGTTTTTTAAGTCCGTTAAGATTGATCTGAAACACGGACAAACATATTTCACAAATCTTATATTTGATTCCAAATATATACAGGACTGGCTTTTAAATGGTATCGAAGGTAAGTTCCTATCTTGAAATCGTCCATCTTGAACATTCTTGATAAAAAAAAGTACCACCATTGAAGGAAGTGAATAAATTTCAAGTAAGTATAGTACGTAAGTGTATGAAGTGATCTCATACTTACACAAATGTTATTAATATTGTTAAAAAAAAGCCAAGTGTGTGTAAGTAAGTATTAACTGTAAATAATCTTACATCAACATAACATTACATAATGTTATCATCAACTGCTCTTGTAAGTTCATCTTATATAAAATCTCCAAGTAAGTATATCTTGTATAAAATCGCCAAGTATATCTTGTATAAAATCGCCAAGCAAGTATATCTTTTATAAAATCTCCAAGTAAGTATATTTTATATAAAATCGCCAAGTAAGTATATCTTATATAAAATATTGAAATAAAGTTTATACCCTTTGAAGTTGGTTTGTTATAATTTTTCTTATATTATATTCTTAAGTATATTTATAAATATAAATACAAAGTTAGTAAGTAATATAACCTATATTTTAAGATATCCAACACGGTAATATTGTTGTACCTCTGTTGTGTAATTGTTTACATTGCCTCTGAATTCGCTGACTTTATTTTCCGTGGGAATTTAGCATAATATAATACACCACTTAGGCATCATATCAATATTTCGAAAATGTTGTCAAAATCGTTGCCGAGACACAACGTTCATGATTTGAAATAAAATTCCTTGATCAATGACCAAATTACTTTTTTTTAGTAATTAGTAAATAGTTATTGATCATTTATGTTTCCAGAAATATAAAAAATTAAAATGATGTCTTTCTGCACTGAAGATAGAGTCAGTGATTTCCTCACTTTGTGTTTGGATTGAAATTGATGGTAGTTTTACATTCAAAATGATTGCTTTATTATTCCAATTTACTAATATACGATACAATTGATGTCACAATGTCTTAATATTTCAGACAAAAATTCAATACTTCTGTGATAGAGAAATGTAGTAAGTCCAAAACGAATCGGCATATTCAACAATGATATTTCTATCTGTTAAGAAATCAAAATTTGTTAGCATTACTGGCCACTTAAGAAACCAAAAATACTGATTTTAACTAAATTTGGTAATACTGGTTATAAACGTCTTAAGATAATGGTATGATTTGAGATGGTTATGAAATTTGTCTATTAAATACACCATGATTTTCACTAGGGGTCCATTGATGTCAATATTTCAGATGACTTTGTGATATCGTTTGAGACAGTCATCTGAATTGCCGTAATTCTCAATTTTCATTTCAAATGGATCTTTTCAAAATCTTGTACCTTTTTTATGGTATAAATATAAGCCTAAGATTTTGAAAAAAAATTGGACTGTTGTAGAAAATGATTTGGGAACTACTTTGACTGTATATCAGGTCAGAAAGAATGGATTTTTGATTGAGAATATTCTTAAACATATCTAAAACGTAGGATACCCTGTAAATATGTAAGATACGAAACATAGGTTCGATATGCGATTGCACAGTACACTTGTTTCATTAACCAACGTTCGTCTTCGTCACCAGTTTACCCGAATATAGTCCAAATGATACGAAATACATGAAGATCAAACGTCAAAGGGGCTTTTTGCATAAGACTGTTAATTTTAATCAATTTGTGATCTGTTGACACTTACATTGAAATTTGATTGACGGTGAAGTCAAGCAAGTTAAATCAAAGTCCATTCAATGAACCAGTTACGCAAACTAGCGTTTTTTTTCGATAAACTGATTTGTGGCAAATCCAAGTAACTGATCATTTAACAGTGAAAACTGTATTAATAAACGTATCTTTTATACATTAAAATTAAATTACAATTTCGGTTCATTATTTTTTTTTTATCGGTTTTCATTGTAATCTAAAGAGAATTATATCAAGGTTGGGTACTGTTTCATTTCAACCAATAACAGTGCGTCGTAAACACTGTGCATTGTGGCGTCATCAGTACACGACCTTGGTT